CCATTTGTAACAATGAAAATAGATCCTGCATATCAGATATTTACATTATGATTCATAACAGTAGCCAAATTACAGTTATGAAGTAGCAACGAAAATAATTTTATGGTTGGGGGTCACCACAACATGAGGAACTGTATTAAAGGGTCGCGGCATTGGGAAGGTTGAGAACCGCTGCTTTAGGGGATGGCAAGGCTGTACTATCAGGGAGATTACCTAACTAATGCTGATTGGGCAATTCCGATTGAATGGTTTAAAATTCCATTTCTGGGAGAGGTCAAACTGTAAGTAAGTCTTGGTTTGGTGATGTGGGGCTTAGCATATGCAACTCCATTTTGGGCCTGTTGTCTTGTCCTTACCAATGCAAAACTGCCTTCTTACGTTCTCAACTTTTTCCTGAGGACTTACTCTCTGCTGGACACTATGGAGTACTCAAATGAATACCATGTGGCCTCCCTTCTCAAGAAGCTCTCAGTTTAATGACTCTGATAGTTTTCCCTAGTCTCCCAATAGCATTTTATAGAAGTGGTCATTTCTTCCTGAGATCCTGTCTTGGCTTTGGATGCAAGGAAGTATTCCAATTTCTTCATATGTCTGTCTTTCACTTTCTAGGATTTCAGCTTAATGGGGCTCATTGAGTTCTTATATAGGTGTTAGGTTGGCTCCTTTTGCTAAGAAGTGGTGTCCCATTAAAATTAGATTTTATTTAAACCTATAGTGATTTGAATATAATGAAGATTCATAAAAATAATGTAGATGCTTCCACCCCCACTTCTCTCTTTTATTCATCTGTGCTGTCTTCAAGGTTTGAGCTTTCAGAATCAACTTAAGGCTCCTTTCTGCTTTTTCTTCATTTCACATTTCAGTAGTTCTAGGACTGCAAACTGCTGAGGGTGTTCCAGAGTTGAGTACTAGATGAGGCATTCTTCTCTGGTAAATGCTTATGGTGAGTGGAGTTCTATGCTCACTCCATGAGATATATACCTCAACATCCAAATCCCTTCTAGGGAACGCTCCTGCCAAAACTATTAGATGCCTATAGGTTCTGGTGGTGATGGATATGCATATGAAGAGTTTGGCTTAAAATATTTCAAGGAATTTGACAGTGAAAAAATAATAAAGTCTTAAAATGTGATAAATGTTTTTAAATGTATAAAGTAATATAAATAGGTAATTGCTGCTTAACCTATACTACTTTATGCCATCAAAGAGGCCACAAATTTGGGGTGTTCTCTTTGTAAAAATAATTGATGGATTGTGTTATATTTGGGGGTTTTCTATATTCAGGCTTATATGTGTTAGGGTTGCCAAAGGAGGAGTACACAAGGCCGAAAGTGGTAAAGAATTAAAAATGTATTAGATCCTCTGGAAACCAGTTGGGCTGACTCCCAAAATGGTGCCAGTGAGCCAGATTAGGAGGAGTGGGAGATATACTGTATGTCTCCTGTGGAGGTCAGGGTAACTGGTGGGCAGGAGTCTGGGTGTAGGCAGTCCACTTAAAACTGGGTGAGGCAGTTTACTGGAAACTGAAAGCAGTTTTAATATCTTGCAAAACCTGTAATGAGAATAATAGGAAAACCTCCGGGAGGGTGAGAGCCCCAGGCTGGGCATAATGGAGTGCAGGGAAAAGGTAGACTATGCCTAATAGTCCAGCCATTTGTTTTGTTATTTTCCCTGTAAGCTGAGGGTCTGTCTAACATTTTCTTCCTCAAGGATTTTAAGCACTGAATACTTTCAGAGCAAAAGGGGTGTCGGGTCTCTTCTATAACTGCTTCCTGCTGAAAGGCAGTAAGGTTTTTCTTCAAAGCTAAAAATCCTTGCTCTCTTTCAGAGGGACGATGAGGCCTGGGCACAGAAGGAGGTTGTGATGGTATCTAGGAGTGGTATTTTCTGAGTACAAGTAGGGCTTGTAACTTGGTGCTTTATAAATTTTAGTATTATTAGGGAAAAAGCTAGAGCATCAAGAATTATGACAAATAAGTCTGGTGGAAGGAAAGAGACATTAATCTGGAGGGTTGTGGTCTAATATACCCAAATGAGGTTTATTCTCTTAAGTTCATTTGTCCTTGTGTATGGTTGGCAAATGGCATAATTGGATTTCTGCTGTCTCTTTCCCTGAGTAGGTTGATTTAAGCTATTTACCCTCTGGCTGGGGAGGAATAGTGCAAATAATTTATTCTTAAGTGTCCTTGGTTTAGGGACCATAGGATTTACTAGATGGCTGCGGATTGCTTGGCATCTAGATTTGCTAGATGGCTGCAAATTGCTGTTTAACTAGCCCAGTTTCCCTATTCTGCTTGTCCTGGCTTACTGGCCTGTGTCATTTATATAACTTCCTTTTAAAATTTCTTCTTACAAACCTTCTATAACTTCCACAAACCTTTCTGCAACTGTCACAAACTTTTGATAACCGGAATGGTGAGCCGAGGTGTTTTTCCGGGGTCGTGTCTCATGATGCCAAAGAATGAGCTTCGCAGACCAGAAGATTTAAGCAAAAGTGTGCAAAATTTATTACAAGCATATTCAGACTCCCCGCAAGGGGAGGGGGACCCAATAATGGTCTGCCCCCTAAAGTTTTGTAGTCCAGGGATATATATTTGCTACAAGCCTGCTCTATGTCTATCTGTGTCATCACCTGACTGATTCCCTCAATTGTTCTTGCCCAGCAATGGACCTGAACTTTCCCTGTTTCTATGTGTTCTTTCTCTGTCCCCATGCTGAACTTTTTGTGTTTCTATGCGTTTGTACACCTTGTGACTGCAGGCCCTCACTTGTTTTCCCATGCCTTCTGCTTTGTGTCCAGAAACAGTTTATTATTTCTGCTTGGTTGGTTTTTGTGATTAGGCTGCTCAAACTGCCGTGTCTGCCCCTGTCCATTTACCACCTGCCTTTGTTTTCCACTGGACCCCTGCTCCCCTGCCCTGTCTACCTGCGTTTCAAGTTAATCCTCTCACCTTCTTACAGCTTTCAGAAATTGAGAGAAGTTAGCTTGAAATGCAGCCAGATAGGGCAGGGGTCCAGTGGGAAACAAAGGCAGGTAGAAAATGGACAGGAGCAGACATGGCAGTTTGAGCAAGCCTGATAACAGAAGCCAACCATGCCGAAACAAATAAAATGTTTTGGATACAGAGTGGGAGCATGGGAAACCAAGGGCGGGCCTGCAATAAACAAGGTGTACATACACATAGAAATAAAGTTCAGGTCCGTTGCTGGGCAAAAACAATGGGGGAATCAATCAGATGGTGACACGGATAGATATGGAGCAGGCTTGTTGCACATATATACTCCTAGAACGACTTGCTTTGTTGGCAACCCATTCTTTGGGCCCCTCCCCTTGCGGGGAGTTGGAATTTGCTTGTAATAAATTTTCCACACTTTTGCTTAAATCTTCTGGTCCCGGGAGCTCATTCTTTGCCGTTGCAAGACACGACCCCAGGAAAAACACCTCAGCTCACCATTCTGGTTATCAAAATAACAGGCTTTAGAACTCACTTTATTTTTTCTTCAAAATTCATCTCTATGCCCATGCCTTCTATTACCAAAACCATACAAATTTTCCATTTAATTAGATTTTTAGCTCTTAGAAACCTTAATTTTCTAATGGTAACCAAAAAGTAAACATTTTAAAATGTTATAATGTTACTAGTGACCCAGTGCATGAAATTCATGCACATTAAAAGGGAATGGAATGTAATAACTTAATTAAAAAATGTAAAAAAAAGGGAATTAGAGGAAATATTTTAATATTGCTATTTGCCCTTTCTCTATAATAGAAGTGTCAGAGATGAAAGAAAATTAGTAAGATGTATATGAAAATCTTCCTCCTGTCAGAGTCTGGGGCATGCCATAGGAACCAGAGTCAAGTCCCCGCCCACCCACGTGCACCTCGAAATTGCGCGAGACCCAGAACCAGCTGGCCCCAACCCCATTGGACTAGATCCAGACCCACCTGGCCCCACCCCTCTAAAGCCCTGCCAGGTGGGGGGCATGACCTGAGGTCCTCTTCAAACCCCGCCAGGTGGAGGTGCAGCCTCAGGTCCCCTGGTTTGGGGCAGGGTGCGTGGCCTGAGGTCCCCTGGCCCGGGCTGGGAGGGTGCGCCTTGCAGTCCCCTGGCCCAGGCCAGGGGGCACGGCCTGAGGTCCTCTTCAAACCCCGCCAGGTGGGGGTGCAGCCTCAGGTCCCCTGGCTTGGGGCAGGGTGCGTGGCCTGAGTCCCCTGGCCTGGCGCTGGGGCAGGGGCTACGCCTTGAGGTTCCCCTTCAAGCCCTGCTGGGTGGGGGATGCAGCCTGATGTCCCCCAGCCTGGCGCCAGGGCAGGGGACGCGGCCTGAGTTCCCCCGTCTAGCCCCACTAGGAAGGGGGTGCAGCCTCAGGTCCCCTGCCCTGGCCCAGCGCCGGCAGCTTCAGGTCCCTGCTGTTTGTTTGTTGAGGCTCGTTATGGGAACTCGGCCTCTGCTGTGGGCGCAGCCATCTTGACTGTTACGGCATAATAATCCATTTGCATATCCCCTCTTTATTAGATAAGATGTTTTTTTCCCATGACTATATCTACTGTCTCATCATGATTTACAAGCAAAATCTGGAAAGCCTACAAAAATGTGTTTACCAGTAGTGGTTATCTAGGAATAATATAGAAAATATTTGCTGTTATTTTTGGTGAAGAAAGTCAACTTTGTATAGTTTATTTCAATGTAAATAAAATGTGATTTTTATTGGTTACTGCTTTGATAATAGGGGCTAAATCAGGACTCCCTATATCCCATTAACATATAAGGATTGACATGGATGATTAAAGGCACTTAGTAAGATCTTTCTCATTAATCAGCTCTGTAAAGGAAACATCATATACACATTAAGGGAAAAATTTTAAATTAATTACATAATTGTTAAAAATTAAAATTTAATAAACAAACTATATGACATTGAAATCATTTAATCAAAGTTGAAATGCAAATCGTGAGTGTTATACTATAATAATTTGAATTTTTCTTTTTTAATTTTAGAGCTCGAGGAGCATATCTTTCTTATATACAGCCAGAATTTCTGTTCGAACCAGAAGATTACAAGAAATGGGTTGAAATGAGAGTAAGGGAATATAATTTCTTGGAACAACTGCTCAGATATTGAATTTACTGATTTTTGGTATTTGCTTGAAGGTTTCATTTCAGAATCCTTGATTTTTTATTTATGAAATATCCTAAGGATTATGCCTCTGTGGGTGACATATAATAGTATATATATTTTTTTGTATTTGTCTAAAAACCTCTGTAGAGCCTAGGCAGAAATGATCACATGGTTTTCTTTCTTTTTAAAAAAATATATTTTATTAATTTTTTACAGAGAGGAAGGGAGAGGGATAGAGAGTTAGAAATATAGAAACATCGATCAGCTGCCTCCTGCACACCCACTACTGGGGATGTGCTTACAACCAAGGTACATGCCCTTGACCGGAATTGAACCTGGGACCCTTCAGTCTGCAGGCCAACGCTCTATCCACTGAGCCAAACTGGTTAGGGCAACACAAGGTTTTCTTAAAATCTATAAATAATTGCTTCTTTTAAGGGATTTAGAAATGAAGAATGGAGTGTGCTTATGTAAATTTTTTCTTAAAATGAATTTTTAGATTATATGTCTTCCAAACACAATACTGGTTTAACTTCTCCACCACTTGCCACTTCCTTTTTTCAATTTTACAGGAGGATATGGGGAATTTAAATAAGATATGCATAGTTTTTTTGAATTATGCAATTCATTTTATGGAAATCTATTGAGAAGGGGTATTGTTCTGAGATGTCTGCAGGCTTTGAGGCAACTCTAGTTGTGGTACTGTTACTATAGTCACCACGTGACATTAGTAGTAGAGCCAGGGGCCTTTTCTTTGCCACTCTCCTGAGTTTCTGTGGCTTAATTTAAAGAGTGTGGCTCCCAGGGGTTCTGAGTTCAGAATAAATTTGCATTTCATTCTGCTATTTTTGCCCCAGAACTAGTGAGTGCACTGAATGAATACTAGTAAATCTATGACCTCAATAAAGGGCTATGAGTTCCAGAAAGTTACCTGTGTTGATTGTTTCTATGACTGCCACAAGGAGAATTATAAAAGATCTATTTTTTTAAAATGTATTTTTATTGATTTCAGAGAGGAAGGGAGAGGCAGAGAGAGAGATAGAAACATCAATGATGAGAGAGAATCATTGATCGGCTGCCTCCTGCACGCTCTCTAGTGCAGATCGAGCCTGCAACCTGGGCATGTGCCCTTGACTAGAATTGAACCTGGGACCCTTCGGTCTATAGGCTGATGCTCTATCCACTGAACAAAACCAGCTAGGGCAAGAGATCTTGATTAATGTGTGAAGGGGACATGTAAAAGTTTTATTAAAAGACAATATATATATGCTAAGTAGTTAAAATTTTGAACTTCTATTTGCCTTGCATTTTAATTAATGTTGTGATTTTTTTTTTATTAAAGACTAAAGCCTTGTCAGTATGTTCCTCTTTACCTAAGGAAAAGCCACCATGTTCCTCTTTACTTAAGGAAAGGCGATATATTGTTATAGATATGACTGAGTTTGAAACCTGGAGTCAACGGGCATGGACAGATGTACTCCTTCAGATATACAAGGTATCATTTCTCTTCCTGTTCATTGCTAGAGTTTTTTGGTTAATTTACATAGATAGTGTATTAGTTCAGGTTTAGGCAATATTGCTGTAAAAGATTTAAAATCCTAGTGGCTCAAATAAGATAGAATTTTATTTGTCTCATGGAACTGTGGAGAAGTAAGTGGTCTAGAGGCAGTGGGGTGTCTCTTCTATCCTCAGTACTGGGCTTTCATGCTGGGTCAATTTCTTAGAATAAGGAAGGACAGATAAAGGAATAGAAGACAAGTAAATTCCTTTTAAGGATATTTTCTGGAAAATGCATCATTTCCCTTTCACATCCCATTGGGATGAATTTAGTCATGTGACCGCATCTAGCTTTAAGGGAAGTTGAGAAGTATAGTCTCTAAAATTGGTAGCTATAGGCATTTTCCAATATTAAAATTAAGAATTAAAAAATGGATATTTGTGAAAATTATGGTCTCCACCTGTAATGCATAATATTCTCTTGTAAAGTTATTGTGGAGACATTCACTAGGATTCATATAACTGTAGGCAAGATCAGGTGTTGATGAGATTCTCCAATTAACTTCATGCTAAGGTGCATGTGCAGGTAAATTAATGTATAAATTGTGCCTTCACTACTGTATCTTTATTGCTTAAACAAGCACTGGTTTCAGTTCTGGAATAATTTCCTAAGGTCCCAAGGAAATATGGCACTATACATTTTGCTCACTAAAGCCAATGGAGGCTTCTGTTCTATCCTCACTCATGAATAGGGTAAGCTATGGGACAGGGAGTTAAAACAAAAAAGTTAAGTTAAATAAAAGCAGCAGTTAGTCACTCAAAGGAAAAGACAGAATTAAAAGCTAAATAGCATTATATGTCACAAATTGCTTTTTAAATGTCCTCTTGTTTAATCTTCACAACCAATAATCCCTAGTTTAGAGAAGAGGAGACTAGAGTTTATAGGCATACCTACTTCCTTCCAAGATCTGCTTTTCCAGTTCTCTGCTGCTCTCTGGCAATCTAAAATCTTCATGGCAGCCAGTGACCCAGGCCTACCTTCTGGAAAGTTCCTTCTGTTACATATTCCCATTTACTCCTCTTCTCTTCTTTCCACCTCAACCTGCCCTGTCTTCCTTGCTGGATGTCAAGAGAAGAAATCCTATTTTTTCTTGATTAATTCCGAGAAGAAGGTATTAGGATGTTTGTGACTCTCAGCCAAACTTATAATTGGGAAAGACATGTTCTTCTTTTATTAACTCCAGTCTGCATGATCTGTCATTTTGCCCAGTGATAGGAGCAACTCCAAAACAGAAGATCAGCACACGTTCTAATTTAGGGACAAACTAGTCCTAATCTTGCTTTGTGGACTTGATTCACACACTTATTATTTATTCATTTTTGCAGCATTCATAGATATGCTTAGTTCATTTAATCTGTCTTCCCTATCTGTGAATCTATGAATTTAGAAACCAGATTTCACTTGTAAACTTAATAGTGTGTCACCTACATAGTGGATGCTCAGCAAATATTTGTTTAATGAATTTATTCAACCACTATTATGTTTCAGGCTCTATGAGGATAAGAGTTAACTTGATATATTCTATATCCTCAATAATTTTGTGTCTTGGAATATATTAGCAAGTAAGTATATATAATTACAAGGAAGCATGACAAATGCTATGACAAGGCAAGCCCAAATAACTAAGGATGAGTGCCCATAGAGAGGATCCTGACTTTCCTGGCTCGGGGAAAGTTTCCAGGAAGAAGATCAATTTAAACGGAGTCTTGAGAAATGTGCCCTAGCTGGTTGTGCAGTGGTTAGAGCATTGGCCCATGGACTGAAGGGTCTCAAGTTCAAATCCAGTCAAGGGCATGTACCCTGGTTGCAGGCTTGATTACCAGCCTCCAGTGGGCGTCTATGCAGGAGGCAACCAATTGCTGTGTCTCTGTCTTTCCCCCTCCCTTCCACTCTCTCTCTCTCTAAAAAAAGAAATCAATGGAAAAATGTCCTCGGGTGAGGATTAACAATAAATAAATAAATAAATAGGTAGGTAGGTAGGTAGGTAGATAAATAAATAAATAAA